TCCACCTCCACCAAAAAAAGGACTACGAGTACAAATCCCCTCCACCACCGGTTAAGCATTACTCTCTCCTCCAGTTACAAGTCCCCACCTCCTCACCAAGAACACTACGAATACAAATCACCTCCTCCTCCGGTTTACAAGTCCCCTCCTCCTCCGGTTTACCACTCTCCACCACCTAAGAAGCATTACGAGTACAAATCTCCTCCTCCACCGGTTTACCAGTCTCCTCCTCCTCCGGTTTACCACGCTCCCCCACCACCAAAGAAACATTACGAATACAAATCTCCTCCACCACCGGTTTACCAGTCTCCCCCTCCTTTGGTTTACCACTCTCCTCCACCACCCAAGAAACATTACGAGTACAAATCACCTCCTCCACCGGTTTACCAGTCTCCCCCTCCTCCAGTTTATCATTCTCCTCCACCACCGGTTTACCAATCTCCCCCTCCTCCGGTTTACCACTCTCCTCCACCACCTAAAAAACATTACGAGTACAAATCTCCTCCTCCTCCGGTTTACCAGTCTCCTCCTCCTCCGGTTTACCACTCTCCCCCACCACCAAAAGAGCACTACGAATACAAATCTCCTCCTCCTCCCGTCCATTCTCCTCCTCCACCGGTTCACTACTCACCTCCACACCAACCCTACCTTTACAAATCTCCACCTCCTCCACATCACTACTAGATAAACTAATCGTCGACTCATGGTAATTATTATTTATCATACTTAACAATATGGTAATTAACTGGTACACTTCGATCAAATTACAGCTGCTTATTTCATACGTTTACATATATTCTTGTAGGAGTTGACGACACTACACAAGAGAACAAGGAATCTTTTGGTGATATAATAAAAGATACAAGATCATTAAGAGAATCGAAACGGATATATGTTCTAAAGAGAAAGTTTCCCATTTAATGTGTTTTTCTTCTTTTTTTTGTTCCCCATAATAAACTTCAAACATGTTGATGAGTGGTCCCTTCATGCATGCAAATTAGTCATATGTTTGTAAGTTCAAGTCTTATTTTATCCAAATTCTTCAATTTCAAAGTTTGGTTGTTTAATTAAATAAAAGTATACGTTTCTTTTCATTTCCTCTGCTCCACTAAGTAGCCTTCCTAATTTTAATTGGCTGCTATAAAAACCTCAATTGAACGTTTTAGGTATATATATATTTTTTTAACATCATCAATGATATTATTTTAAATTCCCTATTCTATATACATGAATTATATGTATATATATATATATATTTATTTTTAAAAAAATCGAACGATCAAGTGGAACTGGTCAACAGTCGTCGTACGTCGGTAAATAAAAATCAGGATTGCCGTTGACTTATGTCATACCGTATACCGTTGCCTCTTGCTTCTGAGAACTAAGGAGTGTTTTTTGCCGTGGCAAGAAAAATTTATGCAGTGATCAAGTATATTGTACTTTTGTTAGTTTCGACAAAAAAAAGAAGAAGATATACATGTTTTTGAGAAAAGGGATAAAATATAATCGTTTTTCTTTTAAAATGTTTCTTTCTCCTGTAATTTCGTATTTTGGATTCAGCATGTTGTTTGCATTTACTTAAATCCTTATACTTTGGAAGATTTCATATCAATTTCGCATTTAACTTACGGAAATGCATCAATTATCATTCAATTATCAACTTGCCTAGTTGCATTATTGATTACCGCTATTTTGGAAAAGGTAGGCACCTAGGTCATCATGCTTTTATTTAAGGGAAAAAAATGGAGTACGTACACATGGCTATTGCAAAATTAATATGTAATGTAACAATGTAAGAAGACATAATCTATACACAAATTGGATGTTTTTACGTTAACTATATCTTATTATTGTAACTCATTATTGTTTCCCAAATTATATATGTATTTTCCATTTTTCCAGGTTTAGGTCTAGACTTATGTGTTCCTTCTTTTACGTATTTAACTCTTTCCGTACACTGTCATTAATCAGGTCAACTATTTTGTTCTTGGCATCCTTCTTCACGCTTTTATTGACAGTACTAAGCTAATTCCCCACGTAAATCCACCATTTGTTTCCATCTGTTCATCTATATCCCTCTACATACCGTTCACAACGGAGATGCACGTTACCTACCGACATAATTAATTGAATTTTTATGAAGAGTTTAATAAGCGCGAGAGAGTTATGAAGAAATATATTTTAAGAAATTAATGGTTGGTTTGATCACTACAAGACAGATCTTTAACCGTTGCTTATCATCTGTGAGGACAAAAGTAAGAAGAGTTCACTTGAAGATTTATGTTATATGCTCTCTTAGTAAAGGGTTTGACTGTATGAGGATTGGTATTCTTGGTGTGTTATATATGTGTTCGGGTTTTAAATTTATAATTAGTCTTAATTCTGGAAATAAGCAACAATGGACAGTACAAATTATAAAAACAGTAGGAGGGCCAATAAAAGAGAGGAAGAGGCAGTGGTCAATATTATTATTTCATTTAATATCTATAATATTTTGTAATTTTCGTTTGATGTTTCTTTTTTTCATCTAAAAACCGAACCAACTTTAAACAAAAATCAACTAACATTTTTAATAAAAGTCGTCATTCCTAATCTAATGATCAGATTATAAGCTTACTAGAGTCCAATAAATCTTTTCTCAATTTGATCTAGGCACCGATGATGATAATGATCGATCATCTATAGACCGAACATAATGGTTTATGACATATTATGCCATAGGATAATGACTTCAATTTTAACCTTGCGTGTGCAATACGGCAGAAAATATGATTAGTTATTAGCAAAATACGCATCATCAAGCACGTTCCTTCAGTCTCAAGCTAATGATATCGTCATCAGCAGATGCATATATAGTGTATGAAGTAGACAGTTTGAAACCAGTTTCAAATTCAATGTAATAGAATTTGCTTGGTGACATTAATAGGTACCTCTTTTTCTTAATCATACTCTCTATATGGATGTAGTCGAACCACCATTTACTTTCGGAAATTTTCTAACTCCTTACAATGGTGATCAAACGCAACTAAGAAACCAGAGCAGATGATGGTTTTCATAAATCAGATGTATAGTCAAGACCGTTTTGAAAGAGAGATATATAATCAAGCAACGAAGTCTGGATTCAAGAAGAACACAAAAAAACAATGACAAGAGAGAAACAACCCAACAATAAACAAAAGCACAAACAAATCGCAGAAATCAGCAAATAATGTTGTTGTAAACATAAACGAACCTTTGCTTTCTTTTCATGGCATCATCATCGTAAGCTTAGCATCGAACACAAACCCTCGACACAATCCATCTGCATAACCAGGTACACCATCAATCCATCTCCATCCTTGCCAACAATCCCACATTGCAAGCTTCCCCATCCTCTTAGCAGAGAAGTAAACCCTATCTCCTCCTCCAAAAACTTTGAACTTGCTCGATTCTTGAAAACCTCTGTACATATCAAGAGGCATCCTTCCTGCTTCTTCCCATTCCAAGCTCTCTAAATCCAGCCTAAGTATCAGAATCGTTGAACAAGCCGGGTTCAACGAGAAGGTCGATTTCAATCCACCGATCATCAGCAGCTTGGAATCGCCGTTTCCTCGCAGCAAACGTGGTCGTTTGATGATATCGAAGATATCTCCCCACTCATGTTTCTCCAGGCAAATCCAATTCGTGTGAGTGATTGTGAGGTTTGTCAATTTACACGAGAAAAGCTTCCATTGGCTTCTCCACGGAGATCCAACATCGCACAAGGCGAAAACCGAGCTCGACATCAACACAGGGCTTCTAGGTTTCGATGGTAGATTCGATGAGAATTTCAACCACTGGTTAGCCATCACCGTACCTGAGTAATACAGCGCCGCGAGCTCCGTGAGCACCATGACTCGATTAGCCGAATCCACCAGAACGGTGCCGTGCCGTGACCAAGCCGAGCCTAGCTGAGGCAAAACCTTGAACTGACGAGTCAGCGGATTGCAGGCGACGAGGGATTTGCTGGACTCGACCGAGTCGATCGAGTCTCCCCAGAGGTAGATCAATCCGCTTGAAGACGCTACAGGCTGCGGCAATCGAAAAGGGAGGAAATCGAGATTGAATCTGAACCACTGATTCTCCTCTGGATCGTATACATGGATGAACGGCCGGATATTCGCCGCGGCGTGACCTCCGTGACGGTGGCTGTGATGATGCGGAGGCCGGAGAGCGAGTAGATTCAGCGGCGGACGAGTGGAAATGATCTCGGTGAAGCACTGAGAGGTCAAGAGCTGGTTGAAGAACTTACAGACGGATCTGCAGATCATGATCTGACGGAGAGGAAGAGAAGAGAAGATCTGGTGGAGCGAATCCGGCGGGAGACGGTTGATTGGCGACGACTCCATGATGTCTCCTCCGTTGAGTTAGCGGCGGCGGCGGCGGAGGACGGAAACGTGATTTCTCGAAAGGCGAAAGGGTAAAATCGGAATTGTCAGCGGAGTCGCGTCCTCTGCGTTGTCATTGGTTGCGATTTTCGGTATCGGAATGGGAGTAGTGAAGAAAAAGGGAATAAAATTGTTGTGGTTTCCGATTTTGTCCTCACTCACCTACTTGTCTTGTTATCATTGAAAATTTTTCTTATTAGACTATTAGTATATTTTTGTTCTTTATTAATTTTTTTTTATTTAACTCCCTAGAATTATTACCAGAAGGAGTCGACATACGAATTTCATTACATTAGTTTGTAAACGTTCTCCAAATTATTATTTTCAGCGTAAAATGGAGGCAATTTAATTTGGTGCCTAATTAAAGCTCAGAGTAACATCATCCTCCTGAGTCCTGACGACGGTAAATGTGGCCTACGAAGTGAATAGTAAGAGTCTGCCTTCACAAGGACATTACATATTTCACATTGAAGGAACTCAAACAGCCCAATGGGCTTGTCTAGTCTAGCTATCATCTTTCTTTTTGGACTGCCTAAATCAAAATTTTAATAAACCAATTTTTTATTTTTTGGTTCATCATGTAAACACGATTTTAACTAAAAATGCGATAGATTCTCTTGTTTAGGCTTTGTTTCCATTCACATAATTATGCAACGGGTCATGTCAAAATACATTAATTAAACAATAATTTGTTGGGTTTGTTTCTTTTCTCTCGTAGGAGGTGGCGGGTAAACTACATCCTTAACAAAAAAAAGCTCTCCGTAAAAATATATTATTGGCAGGATAATCATGGAACACCAGTTTGTGATAGTGTTGTGTCTCGTCGTCAGGGCCGGCCCTGAAGTAAGGCGGCTGAAGCCTAATTTTAAGCGCCAAATTTAATATATATTTTAGGGGCAGTAAAATTTTACTAAAATACTTCATAGTCTAATGGTTTGTTCGTTTTTTTGCTATCAAATAACCCAGATTTGATTCTCCAACATGTGTTTTTTAGGTAAATATTTTTTCTTGCTTTGGGCGTCAAATAGAGTTGGGCCGGCCCTGCTCGTCGTTGTGTTACCATTCAACCCCAATAAGCAAATGCTTCAAACGCCAAGATATATTAAAAAATCTAGGAGCATTAAGTGTCAGCAGTTACTTGTGTAGTTGTTTAGTCTGAGCTAAATGTCTTCAACTTCATGATGCCTACTTCGGACCATTATACTGCAGTTTTATCATTTTTTTTCCGAAAAATGTATTGTTTTTCAATGGACCAAAACATTTTTTTGCCTTGGATTGGGCATGTTCTCTTCAGTCGTAATTAGTGGAAGTGTATTTTTTTTTTTGAAGAGAGAGGTTTATATATATATATATATATATATGCATTGCAAATAGCATGATTGGAGGAAACAGGATCATATATTATATTCGCTAGCGAGTGGCAAGTGGGTGAGATATACAAATGTACATTACTTTGGAATATTGCGGTTTCTATTTTGGGTGGTGCAATTGTACTACAACGAAAAAAGAAAGAAGATAAGAAGACAGCAAGTACTGTACGTACGTCAAATTAACCAGTTTTCGATTCATGTAGATGACTAGACACGAGAAAGACAATGTTAGTGGTTTCATTTCATGGATTCGATCGATTCGATCAATTAACCAATGACATTCCCATTCAATTATAAATATAGAAATAGCTATAGAAATGTAGGGTGCAACCAAAAAACATTTTGTTGAGTGTTGAGATCGAAATATCGAATATATATGTCTTTAAGTCCGAGCGATCCTCTCGTGCTAGGAAGAGTTGTAGGAGATGTTGTCGATCCCTTCACGAGATTGATCTCTCTTAGGGTTACTTATGGCCATAGACAGGTTACTAATGGCATTGATATAAGGTCTTCTCAGATTGTGAACAAACCAACGGTCGAGATTGGAGGAGATGACCTCAGAAATTTCTACACGTTGGTTCGTCTTTTATTTTCCTCCGGACTTGATTAAGTGTTCCTCCGGTTAATTGATTTTGTATACGTTTTTGTTCTTTATTTTTTCAAAATTTACTTTCAATAAATATATCTTAACTGAATATTTTGACGATCCTTTTTTACATATGGGCATGTAACTACTACCTTTTTCTAATTTAAGTTTCATCATCTTTGTGTTAAAATATATTGTTTTAGCTTTGATCTATTTTATCATTTGCCAGGTGACTCTAATTTTAAAAAAAATAATACTCGTAGAATCGTGTTTCCTTGATCGCATTGATATCTTTTCATCATCATCTTCTTATTCGGTTAGTGTTGACGGGGTTTCAATGAAGGTAATGGTGGATCCAGATGTGCCAAGTCCAAGCAACCCTCACCTCCGAGAATATCTCCATTGGTTCGTATCATCTCTCTATTCATTTCATTTAACTTTACTTAAGAGATATACAGCCTCACAATTCCTTCTTGTTCTAATTAATTATACTTCAATATTTTTAATACATACAGGAGAGTACGAAATTTAGAGACCTACGCATTTCTTAAGTAACACAAAATTGATATTTTATTTATAATAGAAGAGGACACATATCGAATCAATTTTTAAAAAAACCAAAAAGGAACGTGTCAGTGAGTCACTTACAGAAATTTTTTTTTAAAAAAACTGAAATTGTCACTATAGTTTTTTTTTCAAATGTACTTATTAACGAATTACACATAGATTCTATACAAGTACAGAACTAGACTTGTAGTCAGTATTAGTCTCCACTTAATTTGAAGTGTCATTTTATATCATAGCTAGCACGTAAATTATGTTTTGTTTAGTCACCCTTATTAAGTTTCCAAATCATGTATGCTTTTCATTTCCAAGCATCGCATTTTTCATATATGCGATAACACCATAATTTAAATCTAAAAATGGATATTCTCGTTACAGGTTGGTTACTGATATCCCCGCCACAACTGGAACGGCCTATGGTGAGCTTAATCAACCCTATAGATTAACCAAAGTTACATACATATAAATAAAGTCATACATGATGTAAATATGCGATTGTTCAAGTGCTTGCTGTAAAGTGGACAGACTAATTAAAGAGATTTTGTACACTGCAAACAAATTTTGAGAAGAAAACATTAGTCTATTATTCGTATGTTCTAATATCCGACTCAAACCGAGAACATACTAGCTAAAGTATGTTTTGTCAATCTGTTGTAACCGATCAAGGCTTCAACTGAATGCATGATTGGTGACTAATTGTTTAATTCAGGCAATGAGATAGTGTGCTATGAGAATCCACGTCCCAACTCAGGAATTCACCGTGTCGTGCTGATATTGTTCCGACAACTCGGAAGACATACGGTGTATGCACCTGAGTGGCGCCAACGGTTCAACACTCGTGAGTTCGCTGAGAACTACAATCTTGGTCTCCCTGTGGCTGCCGTTTTCTTCAACTGTCAGAGAGAGAATGGCTGCGGAGGAAGAAGAATGTAGATGCCTCCTTCCTTTGACTTATTATTATAATAAGACATTTAAGCATGATATATATACGGTGTTGTAATAAGAGTTTAATGATATGACTAAAGAAAAAGTGAGCTTTGCTTACTTGAACATCTTCTATACAACGTAGCTATACTTTATATGTAATAAGTGAGTGGGATGAAAGAAAATGAGTGCGTTCTTGCTCGTTTGTTGCATTCTTATAAACATTAAACAATCTATAGAAGAAAATGAGAGTTCTTGCTCGTTTCTTTTTATATCGATTATAATTCGGAAAATATTTTATTTTAGTCCGAAAAACTAAGTAACCTAAATAGAAACGAATTTCGGAATACCAATGCGTAATTTTAAATTTGAACTGAAGCCAGGTATCGGCAAATGGAAACGAACTGTTAAAGAATTTACATTATCAAGTAATAAAAATTCGAGACAAATAGCATCGAAATAGTTATGTATCGCATATAAGTAATACGATGATACAAATAGTTATGTATTGCATATAAGTAATACGATGATACATAATATAACAACAATTCAATTTACATTTCAATCTCATAACATTTTTTCTTTTAAGATATTCGGCCGACAAGCCAGTAATCTGATATAAATTGATGTGCAACCCACAGTCGCAGATCAAACATCGAACCTTCTAGCTCTTTCCAGAGATAAAAGTGGTATTAGAAAGGAGCCCGGAAAGAAAGTTCTCACATCCAATACAGCATTTTTAATTCACCTTTCACTTTCCCAATCATCGATTCAATAGGCTGCAAAACAGAGAGGAGGCTAACTAAAGAACACAAGTAGAAATCAGCTCTAACAAAGGAAGTTGTAACAACACACAAAATAGTAGACAGCCCTCAGATCTTTCATACAGAGCTTATTTGAAGTCATTGACGGCACATCGCATTGGTATCCACCAAAGCCAAAAGACCTAACATCATCATCGCCACCACTGTAACCATCATGCATGTGTATATATATATATATAGAAAGAGAGAGAGAGAAAGAGAGAGAGAGAGAGAGAGAGAGAGAGAAAGAGAGAGAGAGAGAGAAGCAGGTGCAGCAATGGAGATGATGAGTCTCGCCTAGAAACAACCAAGCGGTACCATCGGACTCATAAAGTCATCATCACTGGGCTTGAATCGTTTTAAAAACAACTACACTCAGCTATTATAGATATACCATATTGTCGCAACATCAATGAACAAAACTTCAAAACTATAAAAACAGAAACTTGAAACTGCATTGTTAACAAAACGCCCTCAGTATTCGTTTAAATCTGTCATTTGTGGCGCACCAAACTCCGGTTATCAAATGACCCGTAGTTACCATTGCAATAAACCAGGAGCAGCAGCAGAAGCAGCGATAACAAGAGAAAAAGAAGAAGAAGAAGAAGAAGGAGAAGAGATAGTGTTGACAATGATGATGATGATGACGATGAGCTGCAATGATTACTACGAGGTCAAAAACTGAAAAACCAGGGCACCACTCAGAAATTTCAAATTTACATCAATGGGCAAATTCAGAATCCGATAAGACAGAAATAAACCAAGTAAAAACTGAAACTTTTTTCGAAAAATCAATGAAAGCCCTCAGATCTCATAGCTATATATCTGATCATTCACGGTTTGCAAGTAAATGGGTAAAATCCAGCAAACCTAAAAGCCCCAAAAACCGCTAATCCGCATCCGACGCACGTGTGTGAAGGTGAAAAAAAACTGTGGAAGTGAAAAGTGCGCGTGTGAATGTCGTCGGCGACGAATCAGCGATGTTCAAGAGTTAAAGGATACACCACATGCCGGAGATTATCCAAATACAACCGCTCTATTACATAATTTATCCATCATAGGGCAAATCAACAACAATAAACTGCAAAACAGTATTCAGAATTATCGTATCAGGTTTGAAAACTAAACCAAATAAAACACTTCGAAAACGAAAATCGATTGTCGACGAGAGATCTAAGTGTTAAAAGTGAAATCGGAACTGAGCCGATTTTGCTTGGAGGTGAACTGAAATAAAAGAGATGAAATTAGGGCTTCAGTATGTTAAATGACGTTTGTACCATCACGCTTTAAGCCTATACAGTAAATTGTTATTATTAGGTTCGTGGGCTGGCTCTGAGGTTAAAAACCCATTACTACAAGCCCATTATGATTAAACAAGCCCGTTATGCAAAACTCTGACGACAAGATTAACAGAAGATGTTTTGATAAATTACGAATTTTTTTGTGGTGTGATTTGGTGCTCCACCACCACTCTTGCAACTGGCAATATTTAAACACAAAGACAAACCATTAGTAAAGTGGATTTGTAGAGGATAATTCATTCATATTCATCAAGTTTGGATTTCTAAACATGCTTAAGTTCTTGAATAAGGTTAGTAAAAGAAGAAAACAAAGAACTAACTTCTCTTATTGTCTTTTTTTTTTCAAAAAGTTTTAAAGGAAAACGTATAATATCTGACCAAGGAATATAGTATAGTTTTTTTTTGGGTAAAAATATAGTATAGTTTTATGGACCAATTAATCTTATGATTTATAGCTAATCGGATATCGTTTTAAGAGATGGTATTAAAATCCAAAAACAAAAAGCGGCAACCAGAAATAAGCCACATTGACCCTTTGAAATTAGACTATCCGGGAATGGCCCTTCAAGAACACTTTCATCACCAAGATCTAAAGATACTATATTTAAGATAATTGATGACATCACATAACTTGGTTCATCAAACTATAACTATCGTCGTTAGGTCAATTCTTATTATAAAATTCCAATCGTTTTATTATTCTCGCAAAAATCCACATATAGTGGTTGAAATGTTGTTTAATTGGTCCACACCCCAAAATAAGATCACCAATATTCAATAAAAAGTTTGGCACAGGTTTTGTGAGTTTTAATTCGAGTCATTTGACCATGAATTAAGTGAATCATAGTTACAACAAAAAGAAAAATGAAAAAGAGCTTTATCTAATTTTTGTTCGTGCCCGCATCGTTGTGGTCTAGGAAAGGGTTGTGTGAGGTTTGGGAAGTTTGGGTTTGGGCCAAAGGCCCAAGCAGTTTACATGGTAGTCCAATAACAGGCGATCTAGCTATCTCTGGCATTAGTTGGAAGGCATTTCAAACTCGGGACAGGTAGTATGGTGGCCCATTTGGATCTCATGGATCTCATGGCCCGTTGACTCGAGTTCGCTTGAAGCTCATAGTGTCTGTTGAACCGTTGAACCAGGGAGAAGTCCACACTATAGCACTTCGATGCGTTCCTACTGGAGCTGACCGAATCAGCCGATAGGGTTTATCAAAAAAAAAAAAAAAAAAAATTTGTTCGTGAAAATAAACTCAAAACTATGCAATCTTCACATTCCTTTTGTTTATGCAACTTTCACATTCCTTTTGTTTTTATAAAATACTGTATAACATATCAAAACTATTAAAGAACTTCAACAAAATATTTTATTGAGAACGTAAATTCAAAACGATGCTTATCGTGGGGGTCTCTCTAGCTATTTGATGAACTCTTCACACCATATTCACAGACGATTTTAGACTTTGGAATTGTAGAAATAATATTATATAAAAAAATTTGTTTGACGAAAAAGAGGGATTAGCTAGTATTATTATACTATTAACTTCGAATAACAAGTCTAAAAAAACCAACAACAATGGGAAAAGGAAACTATAAATCATGTACCGTGAGAAGACAACCATTGAAATTTGAAATCTCCGTCTTTCACACGAGATAGAGATAGAGATAGAGGTAGAGATAGAGAGAGACGATCGTTTATATCTTTGGATGTTTCTTCTGACGAGAAGTCGCGTCGGTCCGCACAGACCACCTTGGGAACGCAATAGCAGATGTTCTGCCATGTAGCTTCTTCCGATAAGGACTGCTTCCCGTTTTACCAATCTGCTCTAATGTCAAGTCGGCAAGCAGTGTGCTCACTTCGCGACATCTGTCAATGTCATTTGTCTTTGCTCTCTATCCTGTGCTTTTCCCTTAACACAATTTGATGTTTTACAGAGTGTAGTTTGTTGTCCATTTTAATTTTTGTTTTTTTTTTTTTTGTTAAGCTCTTTTTAAATATCAAACATGTAATTAATGTAAAATCGGAGATATGTATAGCTCATTAACCAAATGCAGGTTTATCATTTCTTGTTATCCTCGTTTTGTGTTTTGACCATAACGAATAAATGGAAATTATAGATTTCAACCCAAATTAGTTTTTTTTTTTTTGAAGCACTACTAATAAACAACATAACCAGATCAGAATAAATGATGAGATGGAAACTTGAAACAAATCTAATTCTGAGATTCTACGGTGAAAATAAAAAACACCTAGGAAACAAGAATCTCCTGAAGCATAAAAAACACATATGTGAAAGTAACATTACATACAAAGCTCTTCTTAGGCCTTTATCATTCGCAGGCGAGTTTCGTGTCGAAACTGCTCAAACAGATAGCGAAAGCCTGAAACGCAGAGAGCGGATACCGGAAATCCATAGTGAACATGTCTTTTCCCACTTTCCCAAACTGCAATATGATCTTGTCCGGTCCATCACTCTGAGTCTGCCCCGACGGCTGAGTCTGAGTCTGAGTCGGAGGCTGGTTTGCTGCAATCAGCTGAAAGTTCTTAACCGATGCGACGGTGACACGTCCCCTGAAGTTTAAACACCAGCATTGAAGCTGTTCGTGCCACCTTGGTGGCTTGTTTTTCAGCACAAGCGGTGGAGAAACACTCTCTTTCCCTTCTCCTTCTTCGTCCTCTCCTAAAGGGCCAAGAATGTCGGAAAACCGGGCGCTGCTAAACTCAGTTGAGTAATCGCTCGTGAATTTTCTCGACGAGGTGGATGTAGTAATGCTACGGAACGATTCGTCGAGAAAAGAGCGTGGCACGATGATCTCAGGTTGGCCAGGCACGGTTCCGCCTTCAGCAAGAGAAGAAGCAGGAATCGATTGCATTGCGCAGTGCATTCTCCTTGGACCGCGTGTACCAAGAACGTTTAGCTCGTAAGAAACCTGCGCGATCTTGTAGCTACCGCTCGGGACTTTTGGAGAGACTCTCTTTGAGTAAAACCTCCGGCTAAGTCCTACCGGTTGAGACGCCTGAGAGGCTTTGTTGTTGTATGGTGGTTGTGTGTCGTATATTATGAACTTTGTTCCAAGAAAATTAGACCTGAGAACAAAAATTGGACGATCCCACTTTAAAGCAAGAAACTTTCCGCTTTAAAATGTCATGTATATAATGTAACAACTCTTATAGTACCTAATCTTGCCAATGTACGTGTTGCTTGATCTCGAAATGGTGTCGGCGTGCATTGAGATCACATACTCGGTGTATGTAGTTCTTCTTATGCGTTTTGCGGAAAGAAGAAACTTTCCATTTTCAACCAACAAAGCTGAAAAATAGTAAATTTACCAACGGATTATTCTCTAATGTAAGGCCAAAGTAAGGAAAAAAAACAGAGGAAATGAAGCTTTACCAGGACTGAGACAAAGGTATAAATGGTAAGTCAGGTTTGATTTATCCCTTTTGATAAAGCATTGCATTGTTGCATCTCTTGGTCCCGGCTACAAAATCAAATAAAAATGTTATCTTCCAGCCGGAGATTATAACCACCAACATATGTGACATGAGGAAGAAAAAACCAAACCTGTTTAAGTGAAACAGGGAATGTGATTTTGCCAGAGAGCTCTGGACTTTGAACAATCTCTTTGCACACATCTCTCCATGACCTGCAGACAGAAGCACAGGCGACAACATGTTTGCGAGCAGGCCACACGCTTTCGCTCTCTTCAAGCCTTTTGATCACATCACGCAGCAGCTCAGGAGGCAGATTCGCCCACGGGGTTTCTTGAATCAATACTAAGGGTTGTTCCTCGTGACAATCTTGAACCGAGCCACGAGATTTCCCACCTTCTTTGACCTGGCTGCTTAACTTGAAGTCGAAACTACGCCTCGATAGACTTCCTATACTGTCTCTCACATCGCGAACTATGCTACGGAACGACATTTTTTTTCTTTCTTAATCAGTGGTCTGCAACACAAAAAGTAGTGTTTGATTCAAATTCTGAATGATACTTAATAACAAAGCAACGGCAGAAGAGAAAGAGAAAAGAAAGAAGGAAAATTTGGGAGAAGAAAAGAAGATTCTCATCAATGGACCAAAAGCAGGAAACACCACAGGCTTTTTTAAAAATTTCAGAAACATTCTTTTGATTCACATTTTACAAAAAAGACAGATAAAGAGGACATCAATAACTTCAAATTGAAAGAAGGAAGCTGCTAATTTCAAAATTTTAACTTGGAAAAAGATGCTTCGTATTAAACCAACCTCGTTCAAATGAAGAATCTTCGAAATAAGTAAAAAAAAAAAAAGCAAAAGGAAAAACAAACAGTTTCTGCTCCCAAGAACAAAGTCTGATTAATGGTCCCAAATAATAGAGATCTGATTCCAAGTATAAACTCCCTCTAAGTAATCTTGGGATTCAATTGTGAAAAAGATGAGTCTTTACTACTTCGAGGGTAGAGAAAAACAAAAAAAGAGAGGAAAGTTTGGAGCTTTAAATATATAGCAAGTGGAAAATAAAGACTAATGATCCCGGATCATATTTTTGGGTTTCCTTACCTAACAAATTTATTCACAGAACATGGCTAAAGCTAAAACTTTAGTTAATCAAATTGGTCTATAGAAGATAGATCTATAATCTCATAATCACAGTTTTCCAAAATCGACCAAATCTACAGAACATAGATCTGTAAAACATTAATAGAAACTATCAGACAAATTCGAGAACAAAAAAAAATAACACTCCACACTTCAAAAAAGCTTCCCCAGATTCCATCACTTGAAAAGAAGAACCATAAATTTACAGAGAGCCAGAAAATCAAAGCTCGAAACTTTCCAGAGACACACAATCAATTACACAGATGGGACAGAAAAGAAAAGAAGGGAGCCTTACAAATTTTGGTCTTTCAATTTTGTTTTCCTCGTCTTCTCCGTGCAAATCCTTTAGGGTTTTTGTCTCTCTCTCTCTCTCTCTCTCTAGAAGAAGTTATCTGTCTTCTTCCAGCACGCGGAAACCAACTACGTTATCTCCGCTACACGAACACGAACACATCTCATTTTTTCATCATTTTATATATAATAAAATATTTAGGAAACTGTTTATGATTCTGACTTAGAATACTCTCTGCTTGTGCAAAAAATTAATTAATTCAACAAACAGATGCTTTAAATGAAACAAGATATTAATGTAATCAAATAGGTATAATACTTCCACTGACCAGAAACAAAAATATATTTTCAGCAAGTTGGTTTTAGCCGTTGACCTCCTCTTCTACCTCTCATATCCTGAAAATATCCGAGAAACAATTGTTAGAGATGTAGTTGTAATATTTGATACTATATCTTAACTTGTAAGTCACTGATATTGACCCCAGGAAAAAAAGATTATGTTATCAAAACTGCTTTATAAATTTTAGGGCCGTAGAATGTAGTGTATATATATAATCTACAATCTCAAATTAGTTGTAGAGCTGAAAAAAAAAACATAAACCCAAAGTATGATTTATTTAAGGATTTGTGAAATGTTGTAGAGCTGACCTACCGTTCTTTTATGAGATCATTCAACTTTGGTTTTACCAAACAGTGTTTAAATGTAAATAATAAATACATAAAGTGATTATCACGAATTAAACCCTTTTTGATTACTACTATTCATAGCATTCTATATGGTTCAATAAAAATGATTTATCTTCGATATTGTTGAGAAAATTATGTATACTCCACTCGTTTCCTAATAAGTTTATCCCAACTAAACAAAAATTATATATATATATATATATATTGATTTTTTTTCATTTGATTTAGGGTGGTTGGGTATTTTGTTTCACTTTTATATTAAGAAAAAAAAATGAAAACTCTCAACGACAAGTGTGTGTTTCATTTGTAACATTTTTGTTGTTGTTGTTGTAAGTTACAACTTGTAACTGGATGGATATTAACATGTTTTTATTACACCAACTATTCAAACTCTTGATACCGAATCTCATAGTGTGTGTGTTTGGCTGCGAGCATTAAATTCATTAGTGCAAATCTATGCGGGAACGACAAGTCTCAGACTCAAAAAGCATTTTATCCTTTTGTAGCAAAATCATATCCCTTTGATTGGACTTCACTTTATATTGAATTTCCACTATCATTGGTTGTGGTCGATTTCTTCAACCTTCTAATTATTTGCCACCATTATATGATTAGGTGCTAATTATATTCGAAATAAAGTAGATTTTCTTTTATTGCTTATTTATTATTTAAAAAAAAATCAAACAATGGAAGATTGATTACGTGCGAATGAGATAGATATGGATAAATCATAAATGGATAAGGTAAAAAGACTATTATTTAAATTTGAACGGCTGAGATTGATCGATCCGTGATGCGATATTGAGATTAGTTGAGCGACACACACTCTCGGTCGTCATAAAGTCTGGCTTATGAATGAAATGAAATGACCATTTCTTCTCCATCCAACTATGACGTATAAAATATCTATAATACCCCTGCTGATGTACAAACCATTTATTTATGGGGTGATATGTTGTGGTCTTTTCTTGTAACAGCCATGGAGAATTTGAGATAGATAAAACCCTACGCAATACATTATCCGAATTTGTTTTGTCAACTATAAAAATATGATTTTATTAAGCATATTTTACCAAGAAGCATATACGAGAAGAAAATATCATGGTGATTCGCATAGGTGGAGAAAGAGATATGTTATCATGTTGTTATATAAATATTGGTTACTTGTTTGGAATCAATGCTGTGAACGATTTGCAAGCTAGAAACAACTATCGATTTATAAGAAGACGACAAAAAGAATAAATTTCGTAGATACTCTCCGTCGAAAGCGATACGTCGTGGCAGGTATGGCACTTCATAGAGGTTGACTTTGACCTCAAAGCCTTAGACTGAGATAGAGGCTTTAATTTCACTATAAATTTTAAGGAAAATCATGGTTTGATGATTTGATTTACTAACGAGGAAATTGAATATATTTTGGAAAACTACGAAAATGTTGACTATTTCCACCTTTTTTTCAAATAACGATGTCAAATTAGCTTTGTTCAATAAATCTTTCTGTGTGATAACATACCTATTGATCGATATATTATATCATTCCACACTTGTAAAGTTATAATATAACCGGGTTATAAAGAATACCGTAGGTAGTGTAAGGATTTACCAAGAAAAGCAAATTAGTTGGAAGAAAAAGCAGCTCAAAATATCATACTTCTAAAAATATTTAAAACGAAAGTTGGCATGAAAAAAATAATGTAACCCAAAAGCAAAATGTCTCCACCGAGCCATAGTATATAAAACCGATTGAATGATTAATGCTGAACTATTTTAAATACCAAAAACGAAAAACATAACATTGTATTGTGATCAGTGAAGATCTGCACATCGTTGTAAAAAAAAACAAAAAGAGAGATACCTAGTCACCTAAAGGCTAAGACTCGGAGGGCCCGAACATGTCACACGGCAAGAGAAAATAACAAAACCAATCTGCTACAATTCTTTTTGAATCAATTAACTCATTAAGATCAGCATTCACACACACACACATATATCATATATGCGTGTGATTAGATTACGCAAAAATATTTGCAGATTTTTGAAAAAAAATAATAATTGTGGAAGTCAAGAATTAGATTGTCGGTTGCAAATAATCGATCGATACTTCGTTGAATTTGTATGACATCCCATTTAGCACTCGATTGCACAATTGTCTTCGTCATTTTCTTTCTATATTTACTGTTTTTTAGTTGTTTTGGTCTCCTTTTATGGTGTAGTTCACTACTTCATGTTGATGTTCTCGTCTTTGTTCGTATTAGTTTGTAGAATGTAGTTAGCTATTAGTATCACAGATTCACATGTGTTGATGATATACATTTTTTGCTGTTTTAATTTTTCAATATAGTTTGTCATTGTTGATTTTTTTTCAGTATAGTTGATTTTCAATTGAATATTTTTTTAGTGCCAAAACCAAAATCCATGAAGAAAAAGTGAAAAACTGAATAGAACTACGTTCAGTTTATTTTGGGTTTAATACAATAAGGCCCTCACATCTCTATATTTTTAAAAGCACTAGGTTTTTTAAATTGCCGATAACTGGATCTGAAACTAACGAATTGGGCCTAGCCTCAAAGGCTTTGAATATGTGAAGGTCCAAAACTTAATATCATTTTCAGACCATCAAGCGTGTGTATATCACTTAGAAAAAGAAGCTATAGTAAAACAAAAACAAAATTGGTATAACAGGCATAGTAAATTCAAATGATATGCTTTTTTTCGACGAATTCAAGTGATATGCTATCTTTAAGAAAACCAATAAATAATAATAGTGGGTCCCTATAAAAATGATCTTTTCTATTGTAGTTTACGTTTTTTATTTGGGGCAAGCCAAGCAAGGTTACGGTAAGATCAAAATATGTCAATTATTCCAATTATTATAGTTGACAATGACCTGGCTGATAACGATGGACGGTAACGAACTTGGCATGACAAATGAGGTTGACCAACAAAATATGCAAATATTATTTATTTTTCTTACAAACTTAATAACTTGAATACTCATAACTAAAAATGTTTTTTCTTACCAGTTTATACATAAAAGAAAATGGAATCAATTGATCACCAATTTAGTTATTTTTCTGTACTACTTTTTTTATAATACATATAAGAAACAAATGTAAATATTTGGTATATAATATTTAAACTTAAAATGTCCACGAGCCACGGAATTATTTTCTCGACGTGATACTATTGTCAAATGGAATAAAGTGGTTTCGCTATTTTAAGGAGTTTTTTTAAAATATTTTCCTTTCATTGCTCTCACATGGTTTGTTGGAATAAAGCAACTTATTTCGGACAGAAGAAAAAAGCCTTGAAAAAGTCCACGTAGGCGAAGAAATTAATATCCTACGTGGCAAACATTAAATCGGAGCCGCGATAAAACGTTACACGTGCCTACCAAATCAATCATCAAACGACGTAGACAGATCGAACAGCCCTTATTTTCACACGTCACACAATATTTTACGGCTACGAATGTATTTAGCGTTTTTTATTTAAATAATGTGTTTAATTCTTCTTAACAGGTTAAAGCAAATAGCAATAGCCGTAAGAAAAGAAAAAAACAGGTTAAAGCAATAAAGCCTCTCTCGATTTTGGCTGCTCTTATTTTTAATTATATTCACATTAATGAATTATAATACGAATACTTTATTCGTAGTAAAGAAAGTTAAAAGTATAAATACAAATAAATAGCAGAAGAAGATAACAACATTTAATTTGTTGGGTCAAGTCGATTGTGCAAAAGGAGAGTACAGGTAATCTTTATGGAGTTGGAATCATTGGTACCATCCTCGAAAAATAGGAGTCGATCGGTGACAAATCGCATTTATTGAAAACAGGTTTGTCTTATTCATCGGCCATTTCGGTGAAGATTATTTTTAGTTGTTGTTGCTAAAATGTAAATATCATATATAAAGTGAAAGTTGAATTTTACAAAAAAGCTTAATCCAAGTACTTATTACCATGGCAAAAAGAAAAAGAAAATATGGTAATAATGGTAACAAACGTTTTAGTTCAAACAGAGCCCACACTAAATAAAGCCATAAACAATACATTTTCGAAATACTTTTGATGTTTTTTTTAATTGTGATTTGATCGTATTTCGAAGCTGTCTATCAATATTTTCGAAGATTTGTAGAAGTGGGATAAATTCGAGATAGAATAGCGTACTGTTTCTCTGTTTCAAATATTGTAAACCGTTGTTTGAGTCGCTATCTTCCGTAGAAGTTATATGCCATTTCGGTGATTAAATATATATATGAATTCATCATAAAAAATTAACCCTATAATAAGCTATTACTGTTATACTTATATATGTAAACCAGGTAAATGCATAGTAGTTTTGTGAGTATATAAAATATAAACGGCGTATGTATACACATACGTAGAAAGGGATCAAGTTGGGGTCACTTTACAGAACCATACGTAGTGGAAACACATCTGAATCCAGCTCATTGTAACCACTGCTTTTATTTCATCTCTTTTATTTATTTATTTATCCTCTTATATATAGATTAAAAAGGATTTTGATAATTGGAAAATAAAATATATATACATTTTTTTTAAAAGTAAGTAGTGGAAAAAAAAGAAAATGAACTTAACTTAACCAAAATACAAAGAAAAAAAAAAGAGCTGCGAAAAAAGTGGGAGATGAGTTTGGTGTTTCAGACAAAAAACGAACTGCCAGTAAGATTGTCCATTCTCCTATTAATGTTTTGTTATACTTAAACAAAACATCTCCATAACTAAAATGTGATTGCTTTCCTAAATGTTTATACAGTTTTGTCTCTCTCTTTTCTCACTATT